TGAGAACAACACTGAGGGGCTCCTACAGGTGGTCCCTGAGGAGTGGACTGATAAGGAGTTGTTGGAACTGGAACAGGAACACACAGCTGAAGAAGAGGCAAGAGAAAAGGAAACTGAAGGAGAAAAAGAAGATGAATCCCCAAGAAAATTCACAGTGAAGGGTTTAGCAGAAGCTTTTGCAGACCTCAACAAGCTCCTTAAAAAGCTTGAAAACGTAGACTCCAACACCAAAAGGTTTTCATTAACAGAGAGGAATGTTCATGGTGCATTATCTGCTTACAAGCAAATCTGTGATGAAGAAAAGAAACAAACTAAGCAAACCCCCATGGACATTTTTCTGAAAAGAGTGACAGCTCCTCAAGAAGAGCCTGGGCAGGTGCTTCAGGAGGCGTTCCAGAAGAAGCATTGTTATCATGGGAGAGGACAGCTCCATGCAGGTTAGTTCTCCCCTGGAGTTCTAGCAGGACGAGCTGTGGAGTGGAAGACAGTGATATGGATGATTTTGAACTTGTGTAGGCCTAGGTTAATCTGTGTGTTCGTGTCTTAGTTTTCAACAAAAATGTTTAAAAAGTAAAAAAAAAAAAACAATTTTAAAAATTTAAAAAAACCTTATAGAATAGGGATATAAAGAAAGAAAATATTTTTGTAGAGCTGTGCAATGTGTTTGTGTTTTAAGCTGTGTTGTTACAGAAAAGTCAATTAAAAATTAAATAGTTTATACAGTAAAGAAGTTACAGTAAGGTTAATTTATGTTTGAAGAAAGAAAAACATTTGTTACAAATTTAGTGTAGCCTAAGTGCACAGTGTTGATAAAATCCAGAGCGGTGTCCAGTGACGTCCCGGCCCTCACATTCACTCACCACTCACTGCTCTCTCACCGACCCCCCCAGAGCAACGTCCAGTCCTGCAAGCTCCATTCGTGGGAAGTGCCCCACACAGGTGCACCACTGTTTATCTTTTATATTGTATTTTTACCGTACCTTTTCTGTGTTCAGATATATTTAAACAAACAGATACTTACCATCGTGCTGCAATTGCCTACAGTATTCAGCACAGTAACATACTCTACAGGCTTCTAGCCTAGGAGCCATAGGCTACAGCACACAGCCTGGGTATGTGGTAGGCTGCACCATCCAGGTTTGTGTAAGTGTCCTCTGTGAGGTTCACACAGTGATGAAATTGCCTAATGACGCATTTCTCAGAACGTGTCCTTGTCGTTCAGTGACACTTGACTGCATAGGAAAAAATATAGTACATGTAAGGGTTCAGCATATTCGAGGTTTCGGGCATCCACCAGGGGTCTCAGAATATGACCCCTCAGATAAGGGGGCACTACTCTATGCTCTATGTGTATGATTTGTTTCTTGTTTATTTGCCTCTGAAGGAAAGTAGTCCTGGAGAATGGAAAGAACCTTCTTGTGGGTGACAGGTTCAAGTATGTGGTACCATATGAAATTCAGGTGAAATAAAATGTTTCGAAAATTTAAAAAAAGCAGGACACAAAATTATATATTCTATATGATCCATTATAAACCTCTCTCTTTCACACACATACACACACATTACATACACATGAGAGAAAATATTGGTGTGAAAGCTATCTATTTATTACCACCTATAGATGATTGTTCATTTTATATGTTATTCTGTATTTTCCAAGTTTCCATTAGTAAGCATATGTTAATTTTAAAATCAGAAAAAAAAAGTTAAAGTAATAACAAATTCCAAATTCTTGTTTCTATTTCCTTTTTCTCAAACACCCAGATCAACAGCATGGTGTTTGGGGCCTGGGGGAGAAAAGGCACATGGATATTTATCCCCTCAGGATAGTTCCAACTATGGCCATCACCAGACCTAAGGGACATCTGGGCCACCTCCTCCTAAGTAATTGTTCTTGTTAAAGCAGGACTAAGACGTGCTGAAGCAACATAGGCAGATCAGGGGGTCCGTGCTACTCTCACAATGAAACCCACTGTCCTCTTGAGCACACATTCCGCGTCCTTCTCTTGCCTGCTCAGGCCGGTCCCCGGTGGGTTGGAGTCACGCAGCTGTGCTGGTGCTCACCGCCCTTCCCTCAAAGGGCAACCTGGACTGCAACATACCTCTTCTCTTTCTCCTTCTCTTCTTTCCCCTCTTCCTACCCCTGAGGTTACCGCACAAGGCCATTGTGAAGAGAGTGAAATGGAAACATCTCAGTCTGTCAGAGGGTGGTGGAATCAGCACAGAAACAAATAATTATCTTGATTTCTATTACTCCTCACACTCCTTTGCATTGACCTGTCATCCAACAAGACAGTTCATTCTCTCCATTCTTTTCCTCCAAACACTAATGGAACTTATCTATAAGGTTCCTAGGTGGGTGCTCAACCTTTCCCCTCGAACATTTATAATACGGTGTACTTCACAAGCTTGGAGGTAGATTTGATTCTAACAGGATTAACAACATTATGGTTTGTGCAGATACATTTTATTTAATTGGGTTCTGAACAATCAGAGATCAGCATTTTATAAACAACAGTTTTATTGAATACCAACAAAAATACTCACGTGTTTATATTAGTAAAATATAAAAATCAGGACAAAATTTGTTTGCCGAGCAAATCATTTGGAATTACCTTTAGGGGTCAAACGGATTTGGTTTAAGGTATTTTTAAACTGAGGCTGATTTTTAGAAGTAGGTTCACTTAAATTACAGTTAAATTATAGTCATAAAGCCAATGACTAGAATTCTGCCTATGTAGGCAATATAAATTTGCTGTCATTACCTGTAAGCACGCTCCTTACTTTAAGAGGCAACATACGACACGACCTGGAAGTGTCTTGTTTCTCCATTTCTCTCTCACTGGGAACAGTTCCTTAGGAATCTAAACCAACAGTAAGGAAAACAGAAAAAAACCCCGAAACATAGGACAATGTCTACATAAAGAGCAAAGCTTAACATATGACTCCAGGTTTCTTTTCATTAATTTTGTTGCTACTTTTTTTTAGCTAATGAAGAAAACAATTAGTTTGAATCTTTTAACATTTATTTATTCAACAAAGCATGGGCTCGGGAGATAAATGGACGAGGCTGGAATCTTGGCTCTGTCCCTTAATAATTGTGTAACCTGGGACAAGTTGTTTACTTAATCTCTCTGTGTCTCAGTTTCAGCAGAGCTTCCAGACTGGGAAGGAGGGCCTGGCCACCCACTTCTGAGAAAAATGGCCATGAAAACCCTGTGAATAGCAGCAGAGTGTTGTCTGATACAGCGCTGAAAGGTGAGAGGAGGGCACAGAAAGAGCAGGCAGGGTTCCGCTCTGCTGTCCATAGGGTCACTAGGAATTGGAATTGACTTGATGGAACTAACAAAAATGCCTCATTTTCCTAATCTGCAAGACAAGGATAATATTAGCACCTAATTCATAGGGTTATCAGGAGGGTTAACTAACCAAATGCACACAAAAAGCTTAGAGCAGTCTCTGGTACAGAGTAAGTGCTTAGTAAATTCTAGGTGTGCAGGAATACGACAGAGAGCAAGTCAAACGTGGTCCCTGACTCATGGAGTTCACACTCTGCTGAAGGTGTGGATGGAGCGGGCAGTGCAAGATGTCACACAGACCACACAGGTATCAGCATCTCTACAACCGTGTCAAGTGTAACGAAGGAAAACCACAGGGCGCTAAAGATCGAGTTGTCGGCTGCTTTTGCAATGAGCTGCAGCAATCAAACTTCTGTGACAGATTCTTGCACTTTTGTAAAATCAAGACTATCTGAAATTTCCACTGTTGTATATCCACCCATTCATTATATGTAGTTTTACTGAAAAAAATCAGACTTAAAAGTTGAGAGCTTTTAATTGGAAGATGATGGTATATTTATTCATATCACGATGTTTAAACGTAAACCCTAGCACCTGAGGGGAAAAAGTCATTCAATCCATTTGACTACAACGACTAACTGGTCCGCAACTTATGAAATATTTTACTTTTCAACATGGCTCTTTCATAACACAGAGTTTTTCAAAATTCTTAGAGTTTTAAAAGTTTCTTACTCTTCAAAAGGCAGGAGGGCATAGTGGTTCAGGGCGCAAACTTTGAAATAAGACAAAGGACCTAGGCTCTGACCTTTGGCTAGCTTTTAAGTTTCGGCCAGTTCCTCCACTTCTCTTAAGCTGCAGTTTCTTCATATTTAAAATGGGGATGATGAAACTTTTATCTCGAGATTGTTGTGAAGATTAACTCACAAAGTCTGGCAAACATCTAGCAGCATCTGGGGCATGGGAGACACTCACAGAACGGGAGGGGCCGAGCCAAAAGGGAGCAGAAAAGACTGAACTTTCTTCCTATGGATTTTAGACGATTAAGACCATTAAGAACTTGTCCATGTTTCATTTTTCTGTGTTACTAGAAAAGGTACGTTTTCCTGTACATACAGTCTGCGATAAGAAGACTAGTGCAACATTTGAGAGTAAGATCACTGGTTAAGACAATTGCAGAATCAGTGTTTGTGTTTATTCCAAATTCCCGTGAATCCTTCAGTTGCAAACAATGCTAACATTCGGAGGTGTCAAAACTTCATTTTGCACAGAGGAATGCAACCCAAGGTTTCTGACTTTTTAAAAGCTGAGAGCACATTTACAGAGCTCGAAGCCTCACCCAACAGGGCCTAAGCGTTTGCTCAGGGTAACTGGCAGGTCACCAACCGCCGCGGCCCGGGCCCGCCCGAGGATGCCGATAACAGGAGGCGAGAGTCACGCCCCGTACTGCGGGCCCACCCTGGGTTCCCTAACCCCGGGGTTTGGGGGTCTGAGGGCAGGCTCCCCTTCTCCCCCCCCACCCCAGCCTCTCCCAGCCCTCGGCCCGCCTCCCTCCGGGAGCCACCTCCCCCCACCCCCCCACGGCCCCATTTGGCTTCCAATCCCTTCCCGCCCGGCGCGCGGGCGGCCAGTCAGCGGCGCCCTCCGAGGGGCGGGGCTGGGGCGGAGCCGATCGTCAGAGCCCGACTCGCCTATTTCAGGGGCTGTGGACGCGATCTCCGCCACGGGTGCAGACGCGGAAGCGGGGCCGCTCGGACTTGGGGCGCTCGTGGGACAGCATGGGGGACAGCCGGGACCCAGCCACCGACCAGATGAAGCACTGGAAGGAGCAGCGGGCCGCGCAGGTACACGCGGCGCCCGAGGGTCCGCGTCGAGAGCTGGGCACCCCGGGCGCAGCAGCACCCAGGGCGGGCGCGGGCCTTGGAGTCCCGGGGGACCGCTGCAGGCGGGGGCGGCGGGGGCTCCGAGCTCTGCGCTTCTGCCCGCTGGGCCGGAGAGAGGAGGGTGGAGGGAGGGCGCGTGGGGAGAGGCAGGGAGCCCAGGCTGCGAGAGGGGAAGCGAGGGAGAAGTGCAGCGGGCTCCGGCCCGGCCTTCCACAGACGGTCACTGCAAGGCCTTCGTGTTCACGGGGGACCGTGGGAGCAGGACCGTGTGCATCATCTCCATGTCCCCAGCACCAATCACCGTGACTGATACTTAGTACGCACAGCCTTGAACGGCGAAATAAAAGCATCTTTACGTCTATTATTCCATTTGCACTTAAAAACATCAAGCCTAGCATTTTAGAGCTAGAAGCTGGTGAGGGGTCGGTGAGTGCACTTATTTACACGTCTTCTCTGAGAGCCTGCACGTGCGAGGTGCTGTGCCGGGAGGAGTGTCCGAATCCCACTGGAGCTAGAACTGCACCGCTGAGAAGCTGAGTCTAGCTAGGAAAGACAGACAGACGATTACTGTCCAGCGTGGCGAGGGCCCTCGGCATCTATTTGTAAAATGTAAAGGGAGTGACGTCGCGCTGGCGAGCTTCCCGAAGCAGGTGACATCTGAACGAGCTTTAAAGATGAGTAGCATCTTGGCCCGGGGGTGGGCCAGGCTCTCCTGACCTGTACGGGGGCAGAGTCCTAAAGGGCATCTTGGAGGAGGCTGGATTAGATGAGAGCACATCTGGTCTGAGTCTTTGGTCACATTGGCGCAGGGAGTCCAGGGGCCGTGCCCAGTTCCCATGGTGCCTGGTTCATGGCACAGAGAGGTCAAGAGCCGCGCTTTTCCTCATCTTGCCCCGTGCTCTTTCCTCAACACCAGGTTAGTATTCATGCGCCGGGGTATTAATGCTCAGTGTCCACGGATGGCTTTATGGTTCCCTGCTTAGGAGAGGGCTCCCATTCTCCTCCAAGGGCCCAGAAAAATCTCTCTTCTTGTCCTGTCCTTTATTATATGCCATTAGGTGGCACAGTGTTTGATGAGCTCTTAATCAAAGTGAACCAGAGAGACCTAGAGTCCTATTAATCAAGGACGTGCAGCTCGTTAGTGGCAGAGTCAAGATTAGACTCAGCATCTGGAGGCCAGGACTCTTTTCATATCCAGTGGTTGTTAAATCCTGGTTCTTACTGAAGTTTTCATGCATACTTGGTGAATTGAGAAAAATATGGACAATGTAGTGAATTTTTCATAAAACAAAATTTGTTCATTGTTAAAGGACTCCCCTTTATCCTGAGGCTAGCTTGCCTTGTCATAGTTTCATTGTAAAAGACTCCCCTTTATCCTGAGGCTAGCTTGCCTTGTCATAGTTTGCAAGAGTCATTCACTGTTGTTAAATCATGGAGACTCTGCTGGCGATGCACCCTACCTGGATGCCTCTGCGAGAAGCAGCTGGCCCACAGAGCACGTGGGTAATTGGAGGACTCATCGTTGACGTCCTGCTGTCTTCTCTGCCCGTGGCCTCTTAGTGCACTTGCACGCTGTCCTAATTGGCAGTCAGATTGATGTCTCCTTATTCCTCACTTTTAACTGCTCTGAGTGAAAACTGCTTATTTCTTTGAGGTGAACCCCCTGGGACCCTCCAAAAGAAATTTTGCATATCACATAGACTGTATAATTTTCCAATGCTTTGTTATGAGAAGTTTCAAACATTCAGAAAAGTTGAAAGAATTGTGCACTGTGTACCCGTATATCCACCATCCAGATTCTGCAGTAAGTGTTTTGCTCCATATCCTTTATTACATGTTATTCCATCTGTCCGTCCCTTCAAACACCCATTAACCCATTTTTTGGGGGGGCACATTTCAGAGTAAGTTGTAGACATCAGTAGATTTTTACCCTTAAACACTAAGCATGCAAATGAACAGAGTTCAACGTTTATTTATGTTTTTAAGGTAATACGTACAGTAGTGAAATACACAAATGTTAAGAGGACTGTTTCATGATATATACCCCTGGGAATCCTGTTTCCCTATCAAGATACAGAGGATAATCATCACCCTGGAAAGTTCCCTCGTGCTGTTTCCCAGTCGTTTCTTGCAACCCCTGCAATCTTGCCCTGGGAAACCACTGTTGATTTTCTTTTCTAACCATTGATTTATATACTTGTTTGTGTAATGCCACTTTCATTCAACAAAAATGTTTTAAGATAAAAAAAATGTTTTGAGATTCATTCATGTTGTTGCATGTATCACTACTTTAAAAAATTTTTTTTTCATTGCTGAGGAGTATTGCATTGTATGAATATACCACCATCTGTTTATCCTGTCGCTGAACACCTGGGCTGTTTCCAATGTGTAGCTATTGTGAATAAACTGCTATGAAAAGTCTCATACAAGTCTTTTTTGTGTACATATGCTTTCATTTCCCTTAGGAAATACCTAGGAGTAGAATTGCTGGGTCATAGGGTATGCAAATGTTTTATGAGAAACTGTTAAGCCTTTTTCCAAAGTAGTTACACCGTTTTCTCCTTCCATCAACAATGTATGAGAGTTCCATTTGCTCCACATCCTGACCCCTTTTGGTGTTGTCAGTCTTTTAATTTTAGCCATTTTGTTGGGTGTAAAGTGGTAGCTCATTGCAGTTTTAATTTGCATTGCTCTGATGATCATTGGTGCTGAGCATCTTTCTATGTGCTTGTCGACATTGGTATATGTTCCTTGGAAGTATCTGTTCAGATTGTTTGTCCTTTAAAAATTAGATTGTCTTTTTATTACTGATTCATAGCCCATGTTTTAAGTTAAATCATGTATGGGCTAAGTGTTGTAATACTAGATCCCCCAATGTATAATGGTGTAAAAATATTGGAAATGTATTTCTCTGTTATGTGCTGGACCAAAGTGGTTTGAAGTTGGAGAGGGAATGAGTACTCTGCTGCCCCACAGATACTGAGGGCTCCTGGCTGAAGGAGCCTCCCCTTTATCAACACATGACTGTTAAGGTTGCCCTGGGCATCACTGTCCAGCCTCAGCAGGTTAAGAGCATGGAGGAGCATATGTGGGAGGTCTGGGGGCCAGGCTGGAAGTGGTGTAGGTCACTTCTACTCACATTCCTTTGGCTAGAGTTCTGTCACCCACCCACGCCTACCTGTGAGGGGAAATGTAGTCTACCTGTGTCTGGGTAGCTGACCCTTCTATAATCGTGGGGGAGGCTGGGAAATGTAGTCTACCTGTGTCTGGGTAGCTGACCTTTCTACAGTCATGGGGGAAGCTGGGAAATGTGGTCTACCTGTGCCAGGTAGCTGACCCTTCTGCAATCATGGGGGAGGCTGGGAAATGTGGTCTACCTGTGCCAGGTAGCTGACCCTACTGCAGTCATGCGTCACTCCACGACAGGGGTGCGTTCTGAGAAATGTGTCATTAGGCAATTTTATTGTTGTGCAAATGTCATAGAGTGCACTTACACAAAGCTACATGGTCTAGCCCACTACACACCTAGGCTCTGTGGTCCTAATCTTAGGGGGCCACCGTCATGTATGCAGTCTGCCATATGTGGTGCATGACTGTACCTTAGCCAAACTATAAATTTCATGTTTGCTGAAAATCTATCCAGCCATTTTCTTGTGATGTGGTGATGGGCAAACAGATATAATCTCTTTTTAAAGATTATGTCCTTTTTACTTTTTGACATTAAAATATTCTTTCTGTTAGAAAATTGTGACAGTAACAGATTAAAAAAAAAAAACTCCCCTTGCTTGACAAATGCTTCTATGTAAGTGGGCAGCTCTGTATCAGTATCCTGCTTCCCACCTCCCAGTTTACTGGCCTGTGAAAGCTTTCAAAGGAGGGCACCCTGTGGTCTCCTGACCCTCCAGAACCAGATGTGGAACGCCACGCTGGGTTTATCCTCCTCTGGAACCACAGTGTCAGCCAATGTGAGAGCAGTTTATTGGGCGTCTCTCCTTATGGTCAGTTTTTGTTGCTGACAAGTGAATTGGGAGCTTTGTCAATTGTAATAAGCGAGCATTGAATCAAATATGTTCAAAGGTATGACTTGGATCTTCTTAAAAATATTTATTTCTCTTTCTGTCAAAATACGCTGAGGGGAGGGAGTTGGTTCTGTCAGCATTCCCAGTCACTTTGGACGGAATTTAAATGGGAACTTTGTTGCTCAATGTTTAGAATGCCGTGAGCTCTTCCTGTTGGATGCCTGGGCTTAATTAGTAGCCTCTGATCCCTTAAAAACTGGAGAATTTGAACATTTCAAGCCTTACTTTTTTTAAGTCCCTTCATGACGTGGGAGAGAGGTCGGTCTTAGCCCGCCTGTTTCTGTCAGTGAGTCAGAAGACAGAACCTGTGAGGGTCTGTGTGTTTTTTAAGATAACTTGATAGTAACGGCATTGCTGTAACGCTGCCGACACGTGGATGGAGGGGGTGACTGATAACTCTGTGTGCCCACGTGTATTTGTTTCTCTTGGGAACCACCCGGGAGTGGAATTGCTGAGTCATAGTGTGGCAGCAAAAGAGACAGGAGAAGTGGAATCAAAATTTCTAAGCTTTTATTTCTTTTACCCAATATTTAGACCACTTCATATTTTTCTCCAGGTAAGAAGAGAGAGGCTGATTGCAAGATGTAAAACTAGCAAATTTTTATTTTCTCCTCATTTTTGGTCTTTATTTTCTTTCTGAGTACTGTGACTGCTGTGGTTTCTAATACAAAGAGTAAGGGAATCTTTCACGTTTGTGGATCAATTATCTTTCATTTTTCGAGTCTGTCTTTTTCTTTTCCTCTTATTCCCTACTTTTTTGAAAGACTTCTCAGTGCTCCCACTTAAGACAGTTTCAGGACAGAGAAAACTTCTTTTGCAATAGCTATCATTCTGTATGTTTTATTCTTGATAGGATTATTTTAAATATTTGCTGATCATCGA